AAGAAAGCTCCACCGCTGAAACATTGTGTCTCTTTTCTTTTCCTTTCATCATGGAATAAAGTACCTCTCTCAAGGTACAACAGCAACAGAGACTTGAACCCACAAGCCAAGAGTTATGAGACCAGTTACTACTGCATTATGCTGCCTTGGCCATAGGCCATAGGAGAGATTATACTTATTATACTCACATCAAGTAGTTTTTTCCAATAAAAGACCCTTGATTTTGAGAAGATGCCAAAACTGAGATTAAAGAAATACAACCAATAGATTTACCACCCCAATTTTATTGAACACTCTTGTTACATCACAATGGACAGTATTTTTTATAAATTCCTTATACTACCTTCCTAATATATTTTGTATTGGAAAAACATTAAAAACATTAACCTCCATGTTGCCCTATTGTTAATTTGAATCTCGTAGGCTTTTTAAAAAATGAGAAAGACATTACCTCTGTTTTTTATATAATCCTGCAACATAAATTACAAATTAACATACTAAGGCATATTTTCCCTTTCCCTGTTAATCAATAACAGGGCCTATAAATCACTCTTGGTCAACATCCCAGCTCCATAAACTATTCTTAATTTCCATGAGGCAGTTCAATAAACCATTCATCAGAATCAGCAAACTTGTTTATACAACAACATTTATTGTGTTAGACTGACTAGAGTTAATAGGCATGTAAACCTGTTTTCTGTGCTTAAAGCATGACTTTGTTTCCAAGCTATGGACTTTTGCACACTGCTGACACGTTCCCTTGTTTTACAGCAGGATATGTCTTGCCATTACACCATAAGGACAGCACTGACATGCACTATTACACTCGTTACACTTGCTCACTGTGTCACATACCGTTGGCTGTGCCTTAACAGGATCCTTAAAATAGATGGGTCCAGGTTAATGTATGCAACAAACACATATTCAAAAAAACACCCTAGTGCCTTCATTGGTAGTGCCAGAAAAAAACACAACCAAACTCAAAAGAAAAATCCTAAGCTCTTCTTTAAGGTCCTGCCTACAATTCAGGCCCCTAACTAAAGCATCCACTCAGCTAAACTGCTTCCAATCTCCAAACAAAACTGTTACAGTTCAAAAACCTTTCCAAATAAAGAAAGCGGATACTATCATACTATTTATGAAGTAGTCTGATAAAAAAAACACAATGCCAGTGTTAATGGTCCTTTGTGACCTGCACTGTTTGCAAGATTTGCACACATCTTTTCTCAGACCTTGGTGATGTAGACTCATTTCTAAATAAGCAATTGTAAACTGCAGAATATATGCTGTGGCTCATTCTAGGAGATAGTAGGCTTGATGTAGTTGTGAATTAAGATTGACATACAAAGTGGAAAGGCTTGCATCTGTGTCTGCAGAAAAGGGATATGAATTAATGAATTGGAAAAGAAGCAAAAATGACAGACTAGGTTATTAAATCTTGTTGAGTCATGACAAGGGAATCGTATGAATTTTGTTGTGTTGAGGATTATTTTGGTGAGGTTATGCTACAGAATAGACTATGCATTTGGATAAATTGCACAACAACAAATTTAAAAACATGGAGGAGGCAGAAACACATTAGCATTTGGTACTTTTGCGTTATGCACCTTGCAGAGCCAGACACAGATGATCAAGAAGTGGGCTGATCTGTAGATTACAGAAAGGTGCCTAAGGCAAACAAGAATTACTCTGTATCTGAACACCAAAAGGCTTTTTTTTAAATTGTATTTGGGAACTTATCTCTTTTAATGTTTTTTATGGCTATAAATGGACGGACAGTGTAGGTTTAGCTATGTTTCACTGTTGCAGATATATTACCGTAAGACTGAGCAATTACCCAGTTTCCTCACCTTGCTCAGTTACAGTGTCCTGATAATTTTTTAGGGTTCAGGTTTTTTAAAATTTATCAACAAATGCAGAGCTAATCAGCGGGGGAGCATTATGCCTTTGTAGTAATAGAGAGTATAAGCAGTTTTTCAAATCCACTTGTTTGAAATGATGGACCAGAGTGATAATGAAAACTGACATAAATATGCAAAGTGAATTCACCACAGTCCTGTATTGGATAAAGCAAATGCATGGATGGATGTACAGTAAGTAAACTCATTATCAGACAAGGGGCTGTAAAGTGAAATATAAAACCTGTAGGGGTGAGCATTACTTTTTCTATCAGGCTCTCTGTCTGATTATTTGCGCGTAGTAACCAGCATTGACAGGAGAGTGGAGGTGTGGCTGGTTACCACAGTAATGTCAGCCCGCCCCACGGTACTGGAGCCAGGGCAGACATGACACAAACATTCCTACGTTTTTGGGGGTTTTGTGAAATACGGGCCCCAATGTTGCACTATAATGTGTGAATAGTGTGAAGAAACCACTTGAAATCTGCAAAAAAACCAAAACATTTTGAGCACTTTAACCATTTCCCTGCCTCCTAGGAGCACAGGCCTGAGTAGATCAGGAAACAGACATATAACAACAAACAACAGCAGCTATAATAATTAACAGCAACAACTGTTGCATCCCAAGCCAGTGCATTGAAGATCAGCGTCTTTTCGGAATTCAGCCACTTTGTCAGCGTTATCATTAGTACAGTTTGCCATTGCAACATTCTTCAAAATGAAAAAGGTAAGAAAAAATCCCAAAGGCGTAGCATTTGTGTACAAATAAGAGCAGTCTGGGGTGCAACATTCAGCAACCTTTAAACAGATCCCCCATTGTCTTACACTTCAGAATCCAGATGTTAAACCCTAAAGAAGGCTTTAGTTTGCTACAGCCCTTCCATTCAGCCACATGCTAAACACGTATTAACTTTAATTGCTTGGGTAAATGTAACTTAATGCTGCTTTCATGACTATCGTGCGATTTTATCAAGTCTGACAGAAGCTTGAGAGGCCCTGGATGCATTGTGACATCAAACAGAAGAGCTTTCAGCTCCACTCAGTCATGCCTTCCATATTCAGTGTGATCTGGCAGCAATGCTTGGAGGAAAAAAAAAACTGCAAAATGTAAAGTAGTTTGTGTTTATCCTGTTATCTTATTTCATACCTGCTTGTTCTTAGGGACTCCCTGTTGTGTTGTTTGATTACATGGTTATTTACAGTGCCAACCCATCTGTTCCAGGAAAAGGGACTTTATTGACTGTGCAAGATATCTGTTTTTCAGCAAAAAACAAACATTTGTTTATCACTTTTAAGTAAACGTATTTTAAATACAGCACTTAACAGAAATGTTCACCCCTTATTTTGTTGGTCTCCCATTTTGTTGCATTACACATTTTTCATAGGTAATTACATTCTGAGTAATAAATTAAATGTCAGAATGAATCTGGAAAATATATCAGTCTATATAATATATAACGTATATAAAACCAAACTAATTGCAAAGAAAAATCAAAACCTACAATTTTTTGGTTTTAGGTTGACATAATTACCACCCCCTTTAATATGACAAACCTAAATTAGTTCAAGAGCACAAAGTTACTCTGACAAGTCACACAATAGGTTAAAGAGCCTCTGTCTGTGTGCAATAATCATGGTTCACATGATTTCAGAATAGATAAACTTGTCTTAGTAAGGACTTTTAGTCAAGTAGTGAATTTCAACCAAAGATTCAACCATAAATCTTTAAAAGAAGGATAGTGGTTTGAGATACCACTATGAGCCCAAGATCGATTTTGAAAGAGGTATAGAATTTAGTGGTTCTGAGAGAAAGAGTCCATACAAAAATCCTGATCATTCCACAAACCAAGCCTGAAATAATTGCAACAGAGCATTTCATTGACACTGCGAACATGTAGCAAAAACCTGAATCAGAAAATTTGCACCAAGACTTGAAAATTGGTGTCCAGCAGTCCAAAGTCAAAGGTCTTTTTGAACAATTTGAAAAGAAGAAGGGGAGAAATTAGTACCACCCCAGTGTGCAAAATTGGTAGAGACTTGTCCAAAAATATTCACAACTGTATTAACTGTCTAAGGTGCTTCCATCATATGTTGATGCGGGGGCCGAATACTTATCCAATCAACATATTGTAGTTTTTTTTTTACTTTGCACACTTTTACTTTTTATTTTTTTGTACACATTTAACATCTTTCACTCACAAATGTGTTCAATTTGAGAATTCAAATTTTGTTTAAAAAAATATCCTGTTTAAAAAACATGTATATCTCCTGTAGCATTTAACAAAAATTTAAGTTAATTTTTTGAATTGAGAGATGCAAGTATTGCAAAAATGAGCATTGCAGAATCTTCATGAGGCATTTGTCAGCCTTTGATTCTCAAGGTGTAGCAACATTGCACATTTCTATCTTGTTTACTCACAAATAACACTGTGGAGAGCATTTCTTAGTTTATAATCTGAAAATAAAGTGTCGGTGTAATCACACAATAGTAACTTGGAATCATTAAGAGTACACACATAAAAGAGTTTTTATTGTGGGTACATTTCTCATAGATTCTTACAGTGCTAAAGTGGCTGAATTGAGCAGCACTCAGACGAAACTCAAGTAACAGATTTTTCTTGTAAATGGTGTTTCAGGCTGTTAACTGAGTAGCACCTAGCTTCCCATGTGAGTGAACAGATAAAAACATACATTTGAATGAATGAAAGTGATTTGTAAACTTTTTAGATAGCTCTGTATTTTCTTCCTTTTAACACTGCTACCTGAGCATTTCTTCACCTTAGTGCACCTGTAAAGTGTTTCTTTTTCTGTTGGATCCAGAGAGGAAACTGATTATTCATAGGAATGCCATTTTAGCCACACATTAACTTTTAGTCTCATCTCTCTGTGTGTGGACTGATTTCTGAACTACCTGTACAGAAACATATCCTAATACAGTTTTCACGCCAAATGGCTGAATTGCCTGAAATGGCCCAGACTCCTCTGCAAAGGGAATCTTGTATAGTAGAGCCCTCTGCCACTTTGTTGTAGATAACAGGGCAGCGACCACTCTGACTCTTGCGCCAGTTGTTCTTACCTCCCAACACTCTCTGCCTCTTTCAGTACACACACGACAGAAACCCGGTGCCCCACGGAATGCGATTTCACCCAAGTCAGAGCCCCACGCGCGGGAGGCGGAGAGGCAGATAGTGCAGAAGCTGAAGGAGAAGTGTGAGGAGCAAGCCCGGCAGCTACTGAGCCTGCAGGAGGAGCTGAAGAAAGCCACTCTGGGCCTGGAGGTCTTTGCCATCACCACACAGCACTTCTGTCAGAAGGTAAAGGTGTTAAGTCACAGCCCATCTCTAAGGATGCTGAGCTTTCCAGAAACAAGTTTTTAAAGAGAACATTTAGGGAGGGCATGCAGCGGTAGTTGGAAGAAAACCTTTAACTTAGAAGGAAGCAGATTACATAACTAATCAAGTAGCCAAATCACACCACCATCACAGAACACTGTGTAGCTTGTCATTGTCACATTTTGTCATTAGCTCCATTTGAACATAATTGAAATAAATTAAAACCATTATGAGGTCACTAGATTTGACAGTGGAGAGCCTGGATTTGATCTGACATATTGCTAGTTGAATTATTGCCTTTACCTTTACAGTGTACAAATGGTACAAAAATATTTTTGTTTAATATGTTGATATGTATCCAACATATCAGAACTGAACTGTTCTCTAACCTTGTCTCCAAAAAAACAAAACATAAATCAGACATTTATCCGTCTTCTGAAACAAATAAACGCTCCCAAAATCAGTGTCACTCTGTGATACCTGTGGACATTTCTAGACCATAACTCATTTCAGAACATCTCAATAAAGGCTGCTAACATGACAAGACCATGTGACCCATGTAGCTTGCTTGGTTGTTTAGAAACTTATCGATCTGAAGGCTGCATTCAACTATTCCTAGAAGGAAGTCAGAGTATCAGACTTCCTCCTGGTTTCACTACACTTTATGTTTTAGATTGATTAGGTGCAATCAGACTCTTTTCCCTTCCCTGTTATTTACAAAATACTGGGTCTCCAGGTACTGTTTACTGTATGTGTAGGTGATGAAAGGGATCATGTAACCTTTTAGAGACTTTTTATGGAAAAGCTTTACTGCTTCATAAATATAATGTGGTATTCATTTGAACATATTCTTCCAGCGTAGGATATTCCCAGTCATACTTAATTGTGACCATCAATAACAAAAATGAAATACTTGCAGGACTTAGGTTGGCCTTTTTGTGGTCTCAGAGTATTATATACAAATCTGTAGAGAACTGCATTGTAGCTTACTAATTCTCCAAGTGAATTACTCACAAGCTGTTCATTGCAATACCTTCTTTTTTTCCATTTTTGATTTATTTAGTACAAGCTATTCAAATATGTTCCTATTATTTACCTGTAACCGTTAAGACTACATAAGGTCCAACTATATATCTACACCTAAAAATTAACTGAAACCCCTTACCAAATAAGCTAGCCCATGAGAAGCCCACACTTTGCAATGCAAGAAATTAAATTTTGCTCGTTTAATTTAGAATTGCCAATTATTTTTTGTTCTGCTCGCCTGATAATGTGTTTTTCCCATCATGACTTATATATGATATATCTGAGAACCTCACATCCCATCACTCAGCTAAGAATTAGAATTGTAGGCTTCCTATCCACCCACCTTTGTGGGACATTTGGCTTTTAAAACATCACAGGTAGCACAGCTCCATACCTTAGGTTGATTGGAGGAGAGGAATGGCTCTTACTGACACCGCTGTATGCTTGAAAGTTCTCGTACTTTCAAGCAAAAAGTCACACAAGTGATGTATCACCAAGAGAAACCTGGTTAACTAATCCCAGCCTACCCTTGGCAGCACTTGGTCAATTGTCCTTGAGGCATGTCAGTCACAGTTGACTGGTTACATGACCCATAATCATAGTTATGACTGTAGTTACAGTCACAGTTGACTAGGCTTAAACACATAATCACAGGGCTCAACCTGCACTCTAGTCAATTATTTTACTGATTGAGCCAGCCCCGAGGCACACAGTCATGTGGTTTTAGATACTTATGCATTTGTGTGTGATCACATTTAAAGAACTCACACTTATTTTAAAGTGAAATGGTGTTTCAGCAGCTGCAGCTTATTATCAGGATCACTATAAATGCCTAAGGCTTCACATGTTATATTCGAACCTGTTTTTTTATAAACCTTGCAGTTGTGGCAGACAGGTCCGTAGAGCATGCAGCACCATGCACAGGGAACATTTCAACAATTCGTAGGTGAAATCAGTCCGGTTCATTCGAAAGATAAAAGGATCACCTGCTCTGCCCTAGAGAAGCATGCCATGAATAGGGATTTTATGGGATGACTCAAATGTGACGAGTGCTGTTGTTTGGCGAAGACTGCCATCTGCTGTCTCCTTAACACTACTGCATTGCCTTTTCTCAATACACTAGGCACCCTTTGAGTAAAATGATGTAAAGCTAGTCTGCTTTCACTTGAACTTTCAGGTTTGTAATAAGAACATAAGAAAGGTTACTAAAGAGTGGAAGCAATTTGGTCCATTTAACTTGTTAACTTGTTAGCGGAAAAGGTGTAAATTAAAATTTGTTCATTGAGGAACAAAAGCAAACACTTTTCGTCATAAATTACTTATTCTGCCAGTTTGCATTGTTTACTGGATGAAATGGTGAGGGGATTTTACAACACATTTTAATACGTAGTTTTAGTACAGTATTATGGTATAGGTTTTAATCATTATTTAATATATTCACTTTTAATTTTAAAGAGGATAATTACTGGTATATTACATAAGAAGTATTTTCCATATACTGTACCTAGCATACAAAGCAGTGAAAATAGGCCATTGTTTGTAGCTCTCCTGCTGGTGATACAATTTCAATATTGTTCCAGTTATCACTGTTGTAGACATGTTGTAAGGTGTACAATACAGTGGTGCTAGTGAGGACTATTAAAAATAACGCATCACATAGGATTGAAAGCAATTTTACAGCTTGCTTCTTTATTTTATAGCAAATTTTAGATCGTTATCGTTATATCATTATATCGTTAGTGTTTTTAAAATCACATCAAGTTACTTAACATGTGCCATACAAGAATAATGTAACAGTTTAACTCCTACTGCTGAAAAACATTCCTTAACAGAGCGGAAGAGCAGACTTTGGATGTTGTGAGAGTGGCTATAATGTAAGTACAGGTAAAGGTTCATTCCAAGATGAAAGGAAAAGGAAAAAAAACACAATGTTTTGGCTCTGGAGCCTGAGGAAGGCTCCACAGCTCTGTTTATTCCTTTGCAGCCTACGCATTCTGACGTAGCTACCTTCTCATATATACAGTATTAGTACAATACACTTGCTGTACCATAAGGCCCTTCATAGACAACCTCCACAATTTAAGTACACTGGCACACTAATAGTCTGCAGGTGACTCGTACGTCTTGTTAATCTTTGGATTTTGACAAGGTCTCTTTGGTATTCCATTTCAGGATAATAAATAACTGGTACTTGTACTGGCAATAAAATAAATACAGCTGAAAATAGCCAAACTTTATCTGTTTTTTGGAGAAGCATACATGTCAGTATTCTTCTTTACCTTTTCTCTTTACTGGAAAACAATGACAAATTAGAGTTCTGTGCAACCATAGCAATTATATCCTAAGACCTAATTCTGTTATGAGAGTACTGTAATATTTTCAGAGCTAGAATTAGAATGAGGCCATATTGCTAAGTGATTTAGTAGAATCCAGCTGGCAGATCACTCTGAAAAAGCCCTGACTGAGATTTTCAGATAAAGAGTTTCTTCTGTTGTATATTATTAATCAAAATTAATCCTTTAAAAGGTTTCCTATAGCAAACAAATTTGAAGGAAACTTTAAATATCATTGCTAATGAGTCACCTATCACAAAGGATTTAAGAATCTGCAATTTGGTTGTCCCTTTTTTATGTTTTCTGAGGATTATAATTATGAAAATGCACTTATCCCTGATGGGTGCTTTAAATGGCTTGTAACATGAGTCAGGTTGCGTCACTGAAGCTCTATGTGCCCTGCAGCTGATTGAAGGAGGTGAGGTGTTTGTATAAAAGCTTTCTATTTCCTGTAAGGATCAGAGGTCTTAAGAATAGAATACACAGTTTAATCTCAATTGTGAAGCAATGCATTCTGAAATAGTGTTACTACTATATAACTTGATATTGTTTGATCTCAGGATCTAAGCAAAGAGTGCCTTATGTGTACTGGAATGAGTGGTGACCATTAAGGAAATCCAGGTTGGTGCTGTAAATTGTGTTGGTAGCACTCTTCTCTCTTGAAAAGATTTTTCCAAAAGCCTGTGCTCCAGTCTGGGGAACCTTGCTGTAGGAGGGTATATCCTTCAGAAGTTAAATCAAGGCCTAGATTAGCTCAAGATTAGATTAGATTTTGTTCAGGCTGACTAAGCAATTGAACCATATTGGGGATTTGTGAATGGGCTGACTATGCTCAATATGTGTTTTAACTGTAGTACCGATGGTATCAGCTCCAACCATTTTCTTTTTAAGAAAAAAAAATGACAGCTGTGAACAAACACGAATATCATTTAAAATGTATTATTAAAGTATAGTTTTAGGCAAGATCTGCTGGTCAGCTTTCACAAAGCAAACCTTTAACCATTCTATTTGGTCCTTCTCGGAGACCTACACCAATCTAGACAGCTTAACTGTATGCTGATGTGCATCTGGACTCTGCTGCTAACACAAAGCCTCCATGACTGCTTCCCTTATCTGGATAAAATTGTGCCGCTTTCAACAAATACATATAAGCAATCTGCTGTTCTTGTTGTTTTTTTTTATCAGGACAGTAATAGTGGTTGTCACCCATGGGAATCGGTGATAGATTTGTAACATTGGCAACAGAATGAAATAATAAGTGCCTGTGTGTGTCAGGTGAAATTTGATTTGATCTGGTGGCAGGAGCTGTCCAAGGTCCTGATTGTTGTCCTCATGTTATCTGTTGAATTTTATATTTCGTCTCTGTAGTGTAAAAGAGATTGGAAGGAGGTAAAAGAAGGAAATAATTTCAGAGAAGCTGTTTCTATCTAAGAAACATTTTCAAGACATTCTGTTAAGATTGCTTTATTGTACTGTGTATAATATAGGAACATTACCTAGGGGGAATAAAACATTTAAAAAATTGTATTTATAATGATATGGGTATTTTTTAAATCAACCTCTATGTCTGTATGTTTCTTTTTAAGCTCTCATGTATTAATAAAGGCCTTGTTGTGCACAATTTATTTTGGTGTGTGTGATAGAGAGATAAAACAGATATGGCTATTGAAAAAACAGGTTGATTTG